TTATTATTATTATTATTATTATTATTATTATTATTATTATTATTATTATTATTATTATTATTATTATTATTATTATTATTATTATTATTATTATTATTATTATTATTATTATTATTATTATTATTATTATTATTATTATTATTATTATTATTATTATTATTATTATTATTATTATTATTATTATTATTATTATTATTATTATTATTATTATTATTATTATTATTATTATTATTATTATTATTATTATTATTATTATTATTATTATTATTATTATTATTATTATTATTATTATTATTATTATTATTATTATTATTATTATTATTATTATTATTATTATTATTATTATTATTATTATTATTATTATTATTATTATTATTATTATTATTATTATTATTATTATTATTATTATTATTATTATTATTATTATTATTATTATTATTATTATTATTATTATTATTATTATTATTATTATTATTATTATTATTATTATTATTATTATTATTATTATTATTATTATTATTATTATTATTATTATTATTATTATTATTATTATTATTATTATTATTATTATTATTATTATTATTATTATTATTATTATTATTATTATTATTATTATTATTATTATTATTATTATTATTATTATTATTATTATTATTATTATTATTATTATTATTATTATTATTATTATTATTATTATTATTATTATTATTATTATTATTATTATTATTATTATTATTATTATTATTATTATTATTATTATTATTATTATTATTATTATTATTATTATTATTATTATTATTATTATTATTATTATTATTATTATTATTATTATTATTATTATTATTATTATTATTATTATTATTATTATTATTATTATTATTATTATTATTATTATTATTATTATTATTATTATTATTATTATTATTATTATTATTATTATTATTATTATTATTATTATTATTATTATTATTATTATTATTATTATTATTATTATTATTATTATTATTATTATTATTATTATTATTATTATTATTATTATTATTATTATTATTATTATTATTATTATTATTATTATTATTATTATTATTATTATTATTATTATTATTATTATTATTATTATTATTATTATTATTATTATTATTATTATTATTATTATTATTATTATTATTATTATTATTATTATTATTATTATTATTATTATTATTATTATTATTATTATTATTATTATTATTATTATTATTATTATTATTATTATTATTATTATTATTATTATTATTATTATTATTATTATTATTATTATTATTATTATTATTATTATTATTATTATTATTATTATTATTATTATTATTATTATTATTATTATTATTATTATTATTATTATTATTATTATTATTATTATTATTATTATTATTATTATTATTATTATTATTATTATTATTATTATTATTATTATTATTATTATTATTATTATTATTATTATTATTATTATTATTATTATTATTATTATTATTATTATTATTATTATTATTATTATTATTATTATTATTATTATTATTATTATTATTATTATTATTATTATTATTATTATTATTATTATTATTATTATTATTATTATTATTATTATTATTATTATTATTATTATTATTATTATTATTATTATTATTATTATTATTATTATTATTATTATTATTATTATTATTATTATTATTATTATTATTATTATTATTATTATTATTATTATTATTATTATTATTATTATTATTATTATTATTATTATTATTATTATTATTATTATTATTATTATTATTATTATTATTATTATTATTATTATTATTATTATTATTATTATTATTATTATTATTATTATTATTATTATTATTATTATTATTATTATTATTATTATTATTATTATTATTATTATTATTATTATTATTATTATTATTATTATTATTATTATTATTATTATTATTATTATTATTATTATTATTATTATTATTATTATTATTATTATTATTATTATTATTATTATTATTATTATTATTATTATTATTATTATTATTATTATTATTATTATTATTATTATTATTATTATTATTATTATTATTATTATTATTATTATTATTATTATTATTATTATTATTATTATTATTATTATTATTATTATTATTATTATTATTATTATTATTATTATTATTATTATTATTATTATTATTATTATTATTATTATTATTATTATTATTATTATTATTATTATTTTTGTCCTGCATCCAGCGGTGTATTACACAATGGCATTCAATGACGGTTTTTGGGTAATATGGACCGTAATCCAAATTTTATTTAATTTACTCTTGGTTTCAGCCATCTTTAGTTGAATCAACATGTCATGCTCATCGATAAAAAAATAAAATCAATTCTTACAAAATTTATGTAATTTTTCGAAAATTAAACAATTCATCAACAACAACAATAGTAATGTAGAAATTTTAAAACGCAATTAATGATAATAACCAAAAGAAATTCAGTTTTTGTTAGTCATAATCAAATTATTTAAAAATATCAATAAAATTAATTGAGTATTTGTTCAAAATGCCCGCCATCTTCTTCAATACATTTAGCAATTCTGATATTCATATTTTATATGCTATTGCTTATTTCTTCTTCTTGGATATCTTCCAATGCATCTTCAATCTTTTCGCGGAGAATCTCAATTGTTGCATTTGGTGTATTATACACTTTATTTTTGAGACGTCCCCACAAATAAAAATCTAATGGATTCAGATCTGGCGTTCCGGCAGGCCACGCCACTGGACCTCTTGTTCCAATCCATGAATTGGGAAAAGTCTGATTCAAATAATCCGTGACCATTCTTGAATTGTGTGGACCACATCCATCTTGTTGGAACCAGATTTCGTTAAGACGATACTCTAAAGGAAGATCATCTAACATATCCTGCAGTATATCTAAATATTTTTCTGCAGTAAGATTTCCGTCAATAAAGTATGGTCCCAGTAATTTATTATTTAACAAACCGCACCACATATTCAAAGAGAAACGATATTGATGTCTCACTTCTTGGATTAGGTGAGGATTTTCCGTAGGATAAAAATGTTTATTTCTTCGATTGAGCATACCAGAATTTGTAAATGTTGTTTCGTCTCCCCAAATGGTATTGTGTGCAAAATTGTTATTAATTCTTACCTTTTGTTTAAACCAATTACAAAATCGCAATCTTCTTTTAGGATCATTACGATATAGTTTTTGCACAACTTGGTATTTGTAATCATGGTATCCGTGTCTCTTGATTATCTTATTAACAGCACTTTTTGATAAGTTACATTCACCTGCAATAGTCCTCGACCTAACTCCTGGATTTATTCGAATTTGAGCTAAGACATTAATATCGTTGACTGGCTCCTTTCTTCGAACATACGGAACTCTAGCTTTATCGAATGTATTATGTTCGAGAAGAGTTGTAGACAAACGCCGAAAAATTTTTATATTTGGTTGCATTCTGTCGGGATATAAATCCTCGTACCTTTGTTTTGCTCTGAACGAATTTCTGTTCAGTTTGATGTATAATTCGTACATATCTCGTCTTTCTTCTGCAGTGTATCTTACCATATTGATGTTAGACTAGGTACCAAGAAACACACAAAAAACTTTTGAACAATGAGAAATTTTCGTAAAGCAATAAAGAACAACATAATAATAATGTGACAGTTTTTGTAATATGGATTGTTTTCACGGCCTACTATATTTTATAACAAGTAAGATGATATTAGTTTAAAATCATATCAATTGCTGTGCCAGTAATAAAATAATATTTTGCCTTCAAATTTGGTAGGTATGTATTGTCAAAAATAGAATCGAGAATATCTTTTAATCATTTACCTTATGAAAACATACTTTTTAATAGTCGAATAATTGAATAATTATTAATTCTCATTTATTTTTTCCTAATTATAATCACTTTATCTTCGAAGTATTATACACTGAAAAAATTAACGCTGATTATAAATTCAATACAGATGATCCGTACCAATAAAATTTGGATTACGGTCCATATTACCCAAAAACTGTCAGTGAATGCCATTGTGTAATACACCGCTAGATGCAGGATAAAAAGTTATTTCAAATAATGTTATAAAATACCCAGGCCCATTTAAAAAAAAAAAAGTTGATGGTGGTCTGGAGAATACGAAACGTTGGATGCAAAATATGAAAACGTCAAAGCAAAGAAAATTTACTATCAAATAAAAAACCATTTAAATATTTTTTAGTAGTTCTGAAAATAAATGAACGATAACCAAAAAACCAAAATGATCGAATTTCCTTTTATCGAAATATCTCAAGAACTGTGCCTGCTATTTTCGATTAATTTTCACTGCTAGATTATGCTTCGAGATACGCAACTTTTTCTCCATTTAACCGACTTTCTAACTAGTATGGTTTGGAAATTACTAATACAATCCCATTAAAAAAGTGGCCACCCTGTATAACTTGTCTGTATAATAACAAAATAAAATAATGTAAAAATAATACTTTACATATCACCATCTTATTTATGAAAGTAATGGCTCTAAACGAAAAATTTATTTCCTTTTGTTAAAATATTTTTATTTTTAGAAGTGTCATTTTTTGTTTTGAATAATATAGTCCATATTAGTTGGTTAAACAGTGTACTTTGAATTGTTATCCCCTTTAGTTTAGTTTAAGTTAGTTTGGATAATGTAAATTTAGTTTTAGTTACTAATTAAGAATTAAAATTGTACAATTTATGTATTATATAATTTGTAAAATAACTATCCTTGTAATAAGGCCAGTAGGCCTGGTTGGGTAGAATAAATAAATAAATAACCTTGGAACAGAAGAATAGCGCTCCAGTGATTTTAATAATTTAGTATTCCTTCCAAATATTACGTCGTATTTATAAGTAATATGTTCGTAATAAAAACGCCAGCTGGTCGACCAGATTTGATGTCAACGGAATTTTTACTTACCATTATCTGAAAGCGCAAATCCTACTAGAAGAAAATTTAAAATTATCACTTTCACCCACATCACAGATTTTTTGTCTTTGGTAAATTACATCAGATCACAATAATAAATTATTGATTTGTTGGATACGATCAGCAGTGATGGACTGAATCATTTTTTGAAATCACGTTATCTGTTTTTGATTTGATTTCATATCCAATCGAATCGTATCATATTTTGGATAACTGATAAGTATAAAGTGATTATTGATAGATTATTTATTCGAGTGTTTGGATTTTATGACAAAGGAAAATATGAAACAAATAATATTTCTAGATATTTCGTCCAACTAGATTTTAAAGATATAGTTAAAAAGGTCATTGTAAATCACCGCACAAAAATTATCGCATCACCAATGCTTTTAAATATTTTGGCTACAGTGAATTTATTTTTTAAATTTCTTAAGTATTCCCTGAATGGGCATTCTTTACTGATAAACTCGAGTCAAAAAACTGGTCGCTTCTTCTTTTGATAGGTTCTTGTTTACTTTTTTTCGGGAGAATGCGGATAGGCATACATTCCACTTTAAAATTATGCTGTTCATTTCTGTGTTTTCTGCTTTGATATTAAGTTGTACGATAAAGGTGTTCACAACGTTTAACTCGCCATTTGACAGATAAAGAGGCCGTCAGAGTAATTGCGCTGATTGAAGATGGGCGAAGTCAAAGTTACGTGGCTTATTTATTGGGTGTACAACAGAGTACCATTTCAAGAGTTGTTCAAAGGCATAAGGAGACTGGACGGTACTCTAGAAGAGAGGGCCAAGGTCGTCCTAGAGTTACAACAGCTCTAGATGATCGTTTTTTACGACTTTCAGCCCTAAGAATACGACACTGCACTGCTCTAATGCACCAGAATGACCTTTTAGCTGCCCGAAATGTTCAGATTTGCGTACAAACCGTTTGAGAGCATGATATACGTGCAAAGGTTCTAGCCAATGACCCGCGTCTTACCAGAGAACATCTAGTTTGCCGTTTACAATTTGCTAGAGACCATGCTGGATGGGGTCTAGGACAATTCGCCGTACCATCGGCATACCAAGTTGCAGAGGTTTGCAAATGTTGCAGCCAACTTTGTCTCCCAAAAATCAAAATTCTACTGGGTCCATGTGAATAATCGGATAGTAAAAAATTTTCTACTACATCAGGTTGGGCATGATATATTCGATAGGAATCTGGTAAAACTAAGTTAACTAGAGTTGTAGGATTTGCGGGTGCTGCGTTAACTTCATTCCTTTTTCTTCGAACTACCTTTCTTAAAGCACAGTTGTTTGGTAATTTAGCCTGGCAAGCTTGTGAAATATTACTGACACATTCGTTGATAACCTAAAACAAAAAAGAACAAATATTTTTATAGCAAGTAAAAGTTTTTAAACGTGTTAGTCAGTTTTAGTAAAAATAAACAAACAGCATATTACAGCAAAAACTAACTAATTCCAAAATACCAAATGAATAAAAATTACCTGAACTGTACTCTCTGTGGTTTCTTCAGCACGTTTCTTTAGTTTTATTACTAATTCAGCTACTTCTGCGGAGACTGCTGAAAAGTCGTGTGTGTGCACATTGACCTCTTTAATAATTGAATTATCTTTTGTGTGAATTCTTGCTTTACACCGACCTCTTCGTTCACATCTCCAAAATTTAACGTTTTCGTCACTTTTGCTTACACCGTCCAATACGTAAAGATATCCAATTTAATAGTTATTGTTAGACTCTAATACCAAGAAAAATTAAACAATTGGTAACATTAATAGGTACTTGAATACAAGTGAAAGATAGATAGGTAAACAGTTTAATAGTTATTGTTAAACCCTAATACCAAGAAAAATTAAACAATTAGTAACATTAATATGTACTTGAATAAAAGTGAATAGTAGGTGTAACGTTTAATGGTTTTTGTTAAAATTCTTAATTTTAATATCCACCTTTATGTTCATTACCTAAATCAATATGGATTTTAATGAAATTTTAACTACCTATTTTAAAAGAAAATGAAAGAAAGAGTCCATATGTTCTCACAGATTTCATTTGTTTCTGAATCCAAAACCTCTATAAAACGTATATTCTGACGGCGAATCGGCGACGGCGAATCGGCTGACGGCGAATCGGCTGACGGCGAATGGGTCCTACGGCGAATCGGCGACGGCGAATTGTCCCATTCCCTGCTGGATGGGGTGTAGAAGATTGGTCCAATATCTTCTTTACAGATGAGTCCAGATTTTGTTTGTTCTCTTCAGACAGACGTATGCCAGTATACCGAAGACCAGGCGGCGAGCGACATTACCAATGCAACTTTCGTGAATGGGAAAGTTTTGGAGGTGCGTAAATAATGGTATGGGGAGAAATGTGTTTTCATGGGCGAACGGAGTTAGAAGCTATTAATGGTGGTAGGCTGACGGCTGACCGATATATAAGGAATCTTATAGAACGTCATGTGGTTCCATACGGCCCTTTTATTGGCGAAAATTTTGTGCTAATGCACGATAACGCCAGACCGCACGCTGCCGGGATAGTGCGGGAATATCGAGGTAAATATTTTTACATTGAATTAGCCAGCTCGCAGCCCAGACCTTAATCCGATAGAGCACGTATGGACCATTTAGGTTGGGCGATCCAGCACCGTCAAGCTCCATTCAAGACCCTTAATGATCTTCAACATGCAATAAACGAAATATGGAACAACATGGAGCAAGAATACATACATAGGTTGTTTGAAAGCTTACCAAGGCAAATGGAGGCTGTGATAAGGGCAAGAGGAGGCAATACAAGATACTAAGAAAATTGTATTTTTCAAAAAAATTTCCCGTTTTTCGAAGAATTTTATTTTTGTAACGAAGGCAATATAAATTCTATTATGTCCGTTTTTGGTATTCTTTATTTACCCTTTACATATTGATTTAAAATGAGAAATTTTATTTATGATTTATGTAATTACAAAGGTTCAATATAAATTAAACAAAAAAAAATGTTTAAAAAAGTACATGGCCAAAATATTTAGAAATATTAGTGATGCGATAATTTTGGTGAGTTGTGTAATAAGATCTTTAGATCTACAAGTCTTAATAATAAACCTCACTCACCAAAAGGTTAGGACGTAGTTTAACTATAGACTTATTTAATTATTCCACTTCTGTCATTAAGAAACACATTTAAAAATGTATGTACTCGATACATTTTGTTTTTTACACCCTCTCTTTCTGTCCTCCATATCTTAATCATCTCTGTTCCTAATCTTCTTCTTCTTTTTTTTTCTTTCTTTTTTTTCTTCTTCTTCTTCTTCTACTTTTTATTCTTCTTCTTCTTCTTCTTCTTCTTCTTCTTCTTCTTCTTCTTCTTTTTCGAACAAGAAGACTCGATGGAATGTAGTTTGACAGATCACTTTCTGATCTGATGTACCTGCATTTCTACCACTCCTTCAGAAAGATTAAAAAAAAAGGAAAACGACAGTAGGAATATTGATAAATTTTTAATTAGTTATACATAACAAAAGACTTTAATTTTGAGTAACATTTTTTGTGTCGGTCGCATCTTCGTCATTTTGCTTCTTGATAGGTACCCTCGGTGACAGGTTCGTCATACTCGCCCACTGGCCGTCGCAGAGGTTGTCGAAAGTCATATCTTTGATCAGAGCTCCTCCGAGATCCCCAGGGCCTCTGCAAGACGGTTGGGAGTCCCAGAGCTTGTTCATGTTTGAATCCATCCAACTAAATAGAAATATGTAACTTTATTAATGTTAAGAAAATACTATAAGAAGAAAATACTAAAAGAAAAAGAAGAAGAAATAAAAGAAAAAGAAGAAGAAAAAGAAGAAGAAATAAAAGAAGAAGAAGAAAAAAGAAGAAAAATACGAAAAAAAAAGAAGAAGAAAAAGAAGAAGAAAAAGACGAGAAAAAAAGAAGAAGAAAAAGAAGAAGAAGTAGAGCCCGAATGTTTAAAAAATTCATAATAAAGTTAGGTACTTACATTGCCAAATACAAAATGTTACAGTCACAATGCCATGGATTTTTGGCTAATTTTATAGACACAAGCTGAGTCAAAAAATCTAAGCATTTTGATGGTAGAAAATGAAATTTGTTACTGTCCAAATGTCTAAAACAAGGTTATTGGTTATTGGTATAAATCAAATATAACAAAATAAAACAAAATAGAACAAAAAATTACAAAAAAATAAAAAAATAAAAAATATAAAAAACAACAAAAAATTAAATATAACAAACTATAACGAAAAATAACAAAAAAATAACAAAAAATAACTAAAAATAACAAAAAATAACAAAAAATAACAAAAAATAACAAAAAATAACAAAAAATAACAAAAAATAACAAAAAATAACAAAAAATAACAAAAAATAACAAAAAATAACAAAAAATAACAAAAAATAACAAAAAATAACAAAAAATAACAAAAAATAACAAAAAATAACAAAAAATAACAAAAAATAACAAAAAATAACAAAAAATAACAAAAAATAACAGAAAATAACAAAAAATAACAAAAAAAAAATAACAAAAAATAACAAAAAATAACAAAAAATAACAAAAAAATAACAAAAAATAACAAAAAATAACAAAAAATAACAAAAAATAACAAAAAATAACAAAAAATAACAAAAAATAACAAAAAATAACAAAAAATAACAAAAAATAACAAAAAATAACAAAAAATAACAAAAAATAACAAAAAATAACAAAAAATAACAAAAAATAACAAAAAATAACAAAAAATAACAAAAAACAAAAAATAACAAAAAATAACAAAAAATAACAAAAAATAACAAAAAATAACAAAAAATAACAAGAAATAACAAAAAATAACAAAAAATAACAAAAAATAACAAAAAATAACAAAAAAAATAACAAAAAAAATAACAAAAAAAATAACAAAAAATAACAAAAAATAACAAAAAATAACAAAAAATAACAAAAAAATAACAAAAAAATAACAAAAAAATAACAAAAAATAACAAAAAATACCAAAAAATAACAAAAAATAACAAAAAATAACAAAAAATAACAAAAAATAACAAAAAATAACAAAAAATAACAAAAAATAACAAAAAATAACAAAAAATAACAAAAAATAACAAAAAATAACAAAAAATAACAAAAAATAACAAAAAATAACAAAAAATAACAAAAAATAACAAAAAATAACAAAAAATAACAAAAAATAACAAAAAATAACAAAAAATAACAAAAAATAACAAAAAATAACAAAAAATAACAAAAAATAACAAAAAATAACAAAAAATAACAAAAAATAACAAAAAATAACAAAAAATAACAAAAAATAACAAAAAATAACAAAAAATAACAAAAAATAACAAAAAATAACAAAAAATAACAAAAAATAACAAAAAATAACAAAAAATAACAAAAAATAACAAAAAATAACAAAAAATAACAAAAAATAACAAAAAATAACAAAAAATAACAAAAAATAACAAAAAATAACAAAAAATAACAATAAATAACAAAAAATAACTAAAAATAACAAAATATAACAAAAAAATAACAAAAAATTACAAAACAAAAAATTACAAAACACAAAATTAACAAAAAACTATAAAAAACACCAAAAAATACTACTTTCCTCTTGGATTCGTTTGTTTAAACCTGAAATTTCTTATGCAAAAAAAATTATATATCCTGATTTAAAATTAGCAAAACAAACGCAAATAATAAAGAAAACAAAATATACACTCACAATTTTTGCAAGCTCGGCGTATAAAAGAACAATCTAGAGTGTATTTCCTTCAAAATATTGTTATTAATGAGTAAAGAAGTCAATCCTATTAGTCCGTTGAAAGTTTTTTCTTTGAGCTCTTCCAAGTTATTGGAAAACAGGAACAGTTTTTCCAAATTTCTGTTTTCCACAAAAGCATTTTCTGGCAGCTCGTTTATGAAATTTTGACCGAGATGAAGTTCAACTATATTGGTCAATCGTTTGAAATCACCCACACCAAGCTAAAACAAAAGGTAAATAAGTTCTATATAAACTTCTACTTCTTCGTTTGTCCTTTGTTTTCTACATTATACTCTCCAGTAGTTCTTATTTTTCCTCTTCTTCTCTTTGTCTGATTCCTAATATATAATATATCCAATTATGATACCTACTTTTTAGCCTTTCCAAACCTTGTAATGTTAAAACAGTTTTTCCTCTTTTTCTTTGTGCCTACATTATTTGGTTCTGGATATTATTGTCTTCAAGAGATCTTATATAAAGATGTGACTATACAATATTTCTCATCAGTTCTTGTAGCTCTATCAACAATAAATACAGAAGCATGAACCTCTTTTGGATGAAATTAAAGATGTAATAACGTTTCTTAGGTCATTAGTTATTGTTTCCAGCTATTTTATTTCTGGTTAAACTATCTTCTTTCTCGTGTCTGGCTTATTTTGTAATATTGTTTTAGTTACCTTCCCTTCCTTGTTAATAACATTATTCTTAGGAATCCAAATAGTCCAAAAAAGCCTATAAATAGCACTGACTATTGTTAAGCATTAAAGGGTTTAAAGCCTTTACTTTGTTAGAACATTTTGTTTAAATTGAAGACTGTAATGAATGGATTACTTACTTGAGCAATTTTGTTGTTGGTCAGGTGAAGAATTTGCAGATTTTGCAATTTATCAAACAGATTGGAAGGTAGGTAGGATATCTGATTTTTTCTCAAGTTTAGTTGCTCTAATGTGACAAGCTTGTCGAAAACGCCTAAAATGAATTCATGTTGTGTGTTATGAAAGAAACTAAGAAATTTGTAATGGTGGTCAGAAAGGAAAGAAGTAGCGGTTGAAATTTATCAACCAAAAGGAAATTAAAAATTAAAAAAAAGACTTACCTGTTGGTAACAAAGTGATATTATTCTCAGCCAAAAAGAGCCTCCTTAATCCAGCCAAATCGACGAAAGCAAATTTCGGAATGGTCGTCAATAAGTTGTTACTCAAATCCAGATCTTCCAAAAGTTCTAATTTATTAAATACCGTTTCTGGAACAGCTTTTATCCGATTTCTGGACAGATGCAGTAACATCAAATTCGAGTTACCTCTAAATAAATTCGTTGGTAGGTCTTTAATTTGATTATCAGATGCGTCGAACGTTTGAAGATTTCTGAGATGAACTAGAAGATTCGGTGGTATTTCTTCCAGATGGTTTTTATGTAAACGACTAAAAAATTTTTATATGGCTCTGCATTTTTTACTTTATTTCCTAAAATAATGTAGTTATAGATTCGTGAGAAACTTACAGGTATTTTAAACTGTCCAGATCTTCGAAAATATTATCAGGTAGATGATCTAGTTTGTTGTCAAATAGATCCAGTTCTGTTAAATACGACATTGATCTGAATACATTCTTATTCAAAGTGGTCATGGAATTTATTCCCAAATCGCTAAAAAAATATAGAAGGAAGATCTTTAAAGTCAATCTGGAATAGAAAGAGGACTTACATTGAAATAACATCTTGGGGTAGGACTTGCTGAACAGGAATCGTAGATAACCCGCTTTGCCAACAGGTAACACTTTTGGTTTCTGGTTTACACTTACAGGGTCCTCTTCCACAATCTATCCATCTTTCGTTTATTTTGGAAATTTCCCAAACTTAAAAATAATACGCAGTAATTTAAAGCTATTAGAACGTACTTAATATGGAAAATAACTTATACATTCTGTTCTAGATCTGGAAGAAGCACTCACAAGAAAATAATAGCAAAGACAAAGTAGATAATATGACCAAGCTACAAACAGTACAGAAACATTTAGTTAAAAGCACACATCATAGATTTATAATGTTTCAGTCAACATCCAATTTGGAGTCCAACACTGTTTGTTCAATATGATAATGGGTAGTATTGGGAAGATGTTCCTTTTACAAAAAAGCTTATTTTGCATATGTAGAGATATATTTAAGATAAATTCAGATATAGAATCTATTGAAAAGTATTGATGACTTAGAAATTTGACAATCAAATTAACACCACTAGAAATCATCATCAAAAGAAGATTAGAGAATAACTGTACCACTGGGGATTATAGTCACTTTTCAACTTTAACATATTGTTGTGTAAGCTAGGAGCAAGGTAAAATAAATATGGAATCCAGAAAGAAAAATGAAGTACCTGATAGAGGTCCTAGGAATAACTAAGAAAGGCAGGATGAGGATCACTTGCCAAAGAAATCAAAAAAAGTCCAAATATATTAATTTTAATTGATAGATACATACCTGGTTGTTCTAAAGATCTGACTCTTCGTTCCAATTTTATCAAATAGTTTTGGCTGCCGTCTTTTTCCAAGTCATCAGAAAACTCTTTAAGTTTCATCTCACTTTGCACCAATGCTTCGCAAGCATTGATCTCACAAAATTCCTCCTGTCCTTTAACAGTGAACAAAAAAAGAAACATAGTCAGGGATGGAAGAAAATCCATTTTTATTTTTCTTTTGTTCGTGAATCTATTCGTAGACCTACTGACATTGCGTGTTGTTTCGAAATTAGAACGGTCAATTGTTTTATTAAATAATTTAGTGCGTGAAATTCGCTTCCTAGTGCCATATTTTATATTCATTTATACAGATCCGGTCTTAAGAAAAATTTCTCTAGTACAAATGTTGAGAAATAGTAAAAAATATCTTGCCATGGTAGTTTTTTATAGAAATAACGCGTCAAATGTCATAAATTTGATTCCATGGTACATTAAACTATCAATACTAAATCATCGTTAAAGTATCCACTGACAGTTCTCGTATTCTTGGAAAATTTTGATTTTAATTTTAGAATATTGTGTGGGAGCGACGTTGCCAATTCGATAAATATTCTGACACATTCAGATATTTTAAAGATTTGAATGTTACAAAATTTTATGAATGAAATTATGGAATTTTACATCAACTTATGAGAGCCACTGGCCGATTTTTGATATAATTTTTTTGCTGTTTTAGTTTCATTAGGTTTTGAGTGTTAAAACTATTAAAAATGCTATTGTATACGATATATCCTCTACAGTTTCAGCTCCAACATTGCAGAGAGTTTAATGTTTAGTGTAGAACCAACTTTTTCTAAATTAAATAAATAAATATTGAATATATTACAATATGTTTTGTTTCAAATAAAATTAATCATTTGAAAGATTTTTTTTTATCGTAGATTGATGTTTTGTGATATTTTTACATGATTATTTAATTAACAAATATGGATTATTAGAAATTAACATGGGATATTGGATTTCACTTTAATTATTTATCTTATCGAAATTATTTCGTGAGATGACATCAATAAAATCAATCTTAAAGATTAGAAGCGAAAATAAAAGAACCGATTTGTTAAAAATGATTTGATAAGATATGCGAGGCACCTTTTTTCTAATCTTAAACATACCAAGACCTTAAAAACAATTGTTTACTTCTTTATTAAAATATATTAATATAAATAGAATATTCAAGTTTTCTATTTCTATTTCTAAACTGTGTCATAGGGTTCAAAATGGCCGCGCCCTATGTTGGGCGTGTCGGACCTCTCTCTTGCCCCGTATAGTATGTATGTATGTATGTATGTACACAATATGCCTTAACACACGAAGTCTTGGATATAAGCTCCATGTATTGTTATTATAAAGCATACAAAAAAAAGCAAATAAAGATATTTTTGGCAATTTAAAAATGTCAAATAACAGTTTTGTATGTTTAATAACAAAAATTGAAATAATTTTTCATCACAATTTTGAATTATTTATCACTAAATCCGGCGTTTGTATTTTTTTTAGATTTAATTAATTCCGAGATAACATTTGACGCTCCTTGTCCCCGATTTCCATAAATATATGTTAATAAGGGTCGATTCCACTGTTGTGTTAAACGGAGATTAAAATGATAGTGTTAATGTAAAAATGTAATTTTAAACTTCGTTTAACACAACGGTGGAATCGGTCCTAAGTTATATTTAAGGCTGCTCATATATTTCACTTTAAAAATATTAATTGAAATTTTAAGACCATCAATAAAAACAAGCTAATTATTTGGCGCAATCTGTGAAGCTTTTTTGTTTTAATACGATCCTGTCTATCAATACCTTATTTTATTACAAAATCTTTAAATACGCTTTAATCCGACCCTGACTAAGACCCCCGAATGGCGTCGTCAAGGTTAAATTTTCTTAGTATAATATTTGTATGCGATCAGCGGAGAGTGCGCCTGCCGATTGTTTTTTATGCCGTGGTAGTATTATAAGGAGGCGCGATCACGTGGTCAAAAATGGCATCAGTCCGCCATATTGATGCGACACTTGCGTCAATTAGCTGTCACATTGTTGTGATTATGAAGAGTAGAGACCCATTATAAGTAATAATAATAATAATTATACTGGGGTAGATATTAGGATGCGAATCGACATACTCGAAATACGGTAAAATCCGAACGCGAATTAAGTTTTTTTAATTCACCGCAAGGGCGCTGGTGCTAGTAGTGCAGTTCAAAATACAAGGCTTCTTATGGGAATTTTACATAATTTTGTCAAAATAATAAAAATAAACTTGTTTATTGACAAATAAAGTACATAATATACTGTTGTATTTATTTCTAAATAAGTCTCGCATATTTTAATTGATAAATTATTTAATTATAACTATATAAAATGCAAATTAGGTAGGTATGATCAAATTCGAAAATATTTGTTAAATGGTGAAATTTAGTAAGTACAATTTTGTGTCTAAATTTTTTTAAATTATTCTAACTATAGTAGTTAAAAACAAAATAAAACACAGTTATAATACAAGTATAAAGGGAATGTATATGATATTTCCACATCCTTTAGTTTCGGCTTTCCCCTTTTTATTTTGCTAACAGTACCATCAGGAAAAAGTGTCTTATAATATTTGGAAATACAGCATCATCTCCAGAAAGTGCTTTATGGGTCCTAGGAACGATATATATGCTGCCACTGTTCTAAGCATTTAAGATCCTATAAAAAAATTACAATGACAAAATTGGGGTTCAACAAAAAAAAATAACAGTAGCAACTCTTTATCTAACATTAAAAATATATAAAAAATCAAATTTTCATTTCTAGTAAGTTAAATTTAATGTATAATTATTGTTGTTTGTAAGTCAGGATCTTCGAGCATATATATTTCATAGAGTCCGCATTCAATAGGGTTTGTTTACGTTATGAGGGAAAATGTCTAGACACTATTACCAGTGTCGCATCATTTTTACGGGGTTTGCAATTAATATAAATAATAAATTTGATACATACCTTTAAAATTCTTTAAATTATGCACCTATTTTATAAATTTGCATTATTTAAGTAGGTACCTGTCTAGTTATAGTAAATAATAATAATAATAATAATTATTATTATTAATATAATTATTATTTGTGTTGGAAACATCAGATTTTTTTTTAATTCAAACATCAGAAAGTGTATAACGGAAAAATGGAGGTTGAAATAATAGGCAATAAAAAAGCTAAAAAGCTTATATTTAAAAATCAAAAATATAAATAAATAGTAGGTATATTATACAAATATTTATGATATCTCTTAACACACGTGTACGAGAATTACAATACAAGAACTTTTCCAATAATTTATTAAATATAAAAATATTGCTCGTAACCAATGTTCATTAGATATTACTAAACAATATACTACAAATAGAAATCAAGCTAATACTTACGTACCTGGATACATTTGCACTGCTAGCCGTTATCAAATAAGTGAAGCTTCATTTTTATTGGAAAACTGTCTTAAGCTTCGATTATTTCTTAATGACTAGGAGTGCAAATAAAAGAAGCTTAAAATGACATTTTTATTGAAAAACTCACATTAGGTTTTGCTTATTTCTTAACGACTAGTAATCTACTTAATTAGAGAAGATAGGTACATTTACTGCAAAATAATTATTGTCATTTTTGTGGTTTATAAAAAATATAGGTAGTAAGAGGTAATTTAAAAAAAAATGTATGATGTATTAAAAAGTATTTAGTAACTTACATGTTTTCTAATTCTGCATTTTCTTTTTCTGCAACATGGTTTAGATCATCAATGAAAAATTAAAAATTTTGAACGAATAACCCACAAGAAAGGTGCAGGGTTCTTTACCTTTTAGATTCATCTTCTTCTGGGGCCTCAGTAAATGCTGATGGGAATGCACCTGGAATTAATCTAGTTCTTACTCCGCATCCAATCTTTGACATAAATATATATATCCAGAAAAATGATTGAAACATAAAACATTACTATTTGAAATGTTTTCTGGAGTAAATTTTAATATGTTTCACCAAATGCCTTTTTTCGGTAGGAATAGCTGGAAACCTACAAAAAACAAATATTATTGATTTAATATCTTCAACATTATCATGATAAAATAACTTAAAAACAAAAAGCTTGTTCATATTGAAAAATTATGATTATTTTCCAAAATCAAAAACAATATTCCTCATACATAATACAAGTTTTTTAAATTTAATTCACTAAATTTACCATTTATTTGAAATTCATGTTTAACGGCCTTTTGCATAAAATGTAGGTACTGTTTTTTTTTTTAAATGCTGGACACTATTTTTCCCCCTGTACCAAAACAAAGTCCATTTGGACGATGGCTCTAGATCTACTACTGTAAAATTTTATTTTATAGAAACTTATAATAAAATAAACTACACTTCACTATACGTGTTGTGATTAGTTTACAATAAATATTATATTTAGACATAAATAAATTATTTTACTTAAAAATACCTTGAATTTATTTCTCCTTGTGTTTTCTTTTGTTTTACATGTGATTTGTGTTATGTGCAGCTACCTTAATTTAGTTAAGTTGGTAACTACTGCTAAGTTGGCAATAACTGTCACTGGTCACAGCGTCATCAGTGACGTATGGAACTGTTGAAGAAAATGCACTACCGACGCCAACTTGAATAGTCGATGTCTTGTTGTCTTGTATTAATAAAATTAAAGCCATTTCAATAGAACTTGTTCGTTTAATATATTTTACAATGTGGAACGAAGTTCTTGCTTTAATAATTTTTGTTACTTGTACTCAGGTACTTTTTTCACATTATTTTGATTTTTTTCACCAAATTTAAAAAAAATTACATTATTTTACATTGACTTATATACAAAATGAACGTCAGTGACGTTCGACCTGCCTACTACAGTCAATTTAACAAACTTTATAAAAAGAAGGACAGATATTTAAAATTTGACACATACTTTGATTACTATACGAGGCAAGAGAGAGGTCGGACACGCCCAACATAGGGCGCGGCCATTTTGAACCCTGTGACACAGTTTACAGCTAAATAATCAGATCGCTCACTTTGCGTCGGCACTTTGGATCTCAATGTTTTAGTTTATACACTGTGCAACTCGAATAATACAATATATAATAACCTCCTATAATAAAACAGCAGTCTTCTGCGTATCCTGAATTTGTATCCCTGGAGTGGATGTTATTTTGGAACTTTTAACTGGTCCGAGTGAGCTAACTGATTCTTTAGCAATAAACTATGACTTCAAAAATAATATTCAGTGACACTGACAGCAGCAAGCAAAATATCAGGTGCGTTTTAATCATCCGCTTCTGCTTCCGGAATTGTCGGTTTAGTCGTTTTAACCTGTCAGATTAAAACAAGAAAACCGATAATTCCGAAGCAGAAGCGGATGATTAAAACGCACCTATTAAAAATATCTCCGAGCAATTACTACTAGAGGGAGTCTTCCCCCCTTCCCCGCGCTAAATTTCCCCGAGGGGGAAAATACCTCTTCTGTAATTGGCTTATTTAATCAGCGTTGCCAAGTTTGACAGCGGCAGAAGTGTTCTGTGAGCGCCAGTTCTGACACTTTCTGACACATGTCAATTTCTTATTTGTATTTTACGGAAAATATTATTATTTATAACGTTGTAAGGGTTGTAAATGTATATTTAAGATTTATTATCTCTAATAATATGGTGAAAACATGCTTTATGTGTAAAAGGCCTGTTGAAAATGCTTCTTCAAGATAATATCATAAGTAAGTACAGACACAACCTAATTATCAGAGGCGGTGCATTAGGCAATCACCTTTAATTTGCAATTAAACTTTCTTATTTTCTTATTAAAATTAAGAGCAAGTAAACTCCAGCTAAGTTCGTCTTCATTCGTCTCATAATGATTATAGTAAAGGTTAATTACTTATTATTATTTTAATATCACATCTTTGTAAAGTTTATTGTTATTTTTTTTAGGTTTCCTTTTCTTGATATGAAAAAGAAATACATGGTTCCAAAATATAGGAATTCAACAAGTGACCACCTGAATAACTTTTTATGCTAATGAACATTTTTATTACAGACCTCAGGGAAGGAAAATATTAAAGAAAAATGCAATTTCGACGAAGGAAGTATAATAATCAATCCTGTCACTACTTCTACATTATATTCATCTGCTACTAAAATACTAAAACAGCAAGTAAGTAGAGAAACTTAATTTCCTTTCAAAAAGAATGTTTAAGGAACAAGGCATAGCCATTTTTTTGTTGACACTTTTTTTTAACTAATCTAAAAGACTAATTTTGTGTATTGTTTAAATGTTCATTTTTTGTACTTAATTTGTTTTAGGTTTAAACAAAATGAACTTCTAAGATATGCATGGAATATCCCAAAAGAGCTAAGGAAGGTTTTAAAATTCTTAAGAAAACTATTCAGAGCCAAAAACATAAAATAGTCCAAAATATAAATAGGTATAAATATTTAGATATTATGAGTGATTTTTTATTCTATAAATAGAACATAATTTTCTTCTAAATCACTACCTAATGAACTATATTATATAGTACACAACTAAACAAGAATATCACATTATTCATGTTTTTTTTTTCATTTCCTTAAAAAACGTCCCAAAAAATATGAATATTTATTATTGGAGTTAACATCGTTATGCTAAAACAATACTAGAACAACTTAAATAATGTGGATTTTGACTATTTTGAGTTATGCAGATTATTATGATCTAAAAAAATGTTTGTCTGGTGCTATAGTCAGGTATAAAAACATTCATTTGTTTAAACACAGTTGCAATATACATTTTATTTAGTTTTTAAGTTAAAACCTATTAGGACACCCTAAAATTACTTTTTTCGTTTGATGTGAGATTAATTATTCTACATTTTTGTTGGTGAAATAGGATATATTAAGAGATGTCTTACTGTTTTCTCTGATTATGTAAAAAGTCAGAACAATATACAAAGACTGTTAAAACAAAAATGAGATATACCTTTACTTAAACTCACAATTAGTCAGTTCAATTGTACGATAATTTAAAGCAGAAATCCAGAAAACTTTAAAAATGTGGTTAAATGTGTTTTTACTATAACAAGGACATAATTATTAAAAAAACTTGGCACATTAACATTGATGATAGTTTTTTATAATATATATTATACAAATCACAACGAACTACACAAAATGACATTATTAATAATTTAGCAATAAAAAGTTAAGTACAATGATGACATTAAAAGTTGAGTTTTTTGAAATACTTTTTTTAAATTGTCTCAGTAACTACCTAGTATTTTTCTAGCACAATGATATTATATGAATGTGCATTGTGTGATATCTTATATTTTAGGAATAAAATTATATATTTTTTGCAGGTTTCTGTTAACAACGATTCCAAGAACTTTTGAAAATATTATTAAAACGGCCTTTGCAAATATAATTCTCAATTAAGAGCTTTTGATCTAACATAAAATTTTTATTCTCCATAAGGTTATAGCTTCCTAAGAAGAAAGTTTAACAAGACTTACCAGACTCAAAATATCAAAATTTTACCAACCAATTGATGGTTCTACTGGTTTCCACAGGAAAATTCTCCTCGAAACTACTAAAATAAAAGGCAAAAAAGTCTTTTGCAAAACAAAAACTAGAAATTTGTCTAAGAATCTATTGTTTGAAGTTTTACCATTAATAATTTTTGATAACGATTTAAGATTATGAAGTTCTATTATGAATTTTACTCTTTGATAACCTATGTTTAAATTTTTATTAGGAGCAAAATAAATTATAATTTTCATTTCAACTACAAAAACCCTCATAATATTAAAAAGGGGAAAAACGTTAGATTAGTTATGTTCAGGAATAAACTCTTTAAACATTTATCTACTTAAAATGTATTACTTTTAGAAGGTGTATTAACTTTCTATTTGTACTTGTACTAATTTATTTTATTTTTATATCTGTTGTATTTTCAAATTGATTTTGATATTAATTTATATATTTTTTATACTCACATATGTTCTTTTCATTGAAACAAACGTTTATTAGCTTATTAAATATAATGAATTCATGTTGTTTTATTATATGCTTGTATGAATGATTACTTTTATTTCCTTTTAAAAATGAATTTCGAAGATAAAGCCGAAACGGTGAGTGAGAATAAATAATTAGACGAAAGTGATTATATTTACTGGATCTTTCATCTACACGCTCCTTTTTCTAGCCATCTACACCTGAGCCAGCAAGATTCGTCTTCCCTCCATCCTTACATTCTCCAGATTTACAGAGAAAACGCCGTTCTCTTTAACATATCCAGACCTTCTTTGACGGGGACTATACCACTACATTATCAGCTTTATTTGTTATCCCGAGCAATTTAAATGCATTCGTAATTGCTCATTCTCACCTCTTCTCTTGTAGATTCCGTAATCAGTTTTCTTATTTTTAGTTACGTTTGCACTGCTCTTTTATTTTCACAGCTTTAATTCTAAAATGCTGTAACGCTACAATATGGATCCATTTTTGTGGTTTATACTATTTAATGTTATTCGTAAGCGACCAACCTATTATAATAATTAAATATTATTGTATTACAGGCCTGAAGATGTTCCTGTAAGGCCGAAACTAGTCGCTCCTGTATTAATAATAAAATTGATTTTAAGGTTTTATTCTTCAATTGAAAAAATTAGACCTTTACAGTGATTTTGTTTCTTTTCCTGCATTAGACACATATAAGACGGTATTCATTTTAAAAATAGTAAAATTAGCAAATTTTTTAGTTCTTTTTTTACAATTAAAACGTTTGGACAATGTGTGTTTTTATAGATAAATGATACGCCACTGAACAAGAAGGATGTTTTCCTTCCCCCTAGTGCCCGCTTTCTCACTTCCTCTACAGATGTTGCTAACACAACAATCGCCTACAAACTCGTTTTCACGCTCCCTCTATTAGTGCTCGGAGAAAAATATTGCGCCAAGATGTAGGCAACACGTAATAAGGGTTCAAAATGGCGGAGTTTTCTATCTCCTTTTAAAAGGCACTCAGAAAGCTGCGCAGTGCGACCATTCTCCGTATAGTAAAAGAAAATCAAAGTATGTGAAATTTGATCATTGCCGATTCGCCTTCTTATAACTAATCCAGAGATTAGGGACATAAAGATAGGAAACGCAGCGACCGCAGTAAGGATGGCGTCATCTATGCGTCTCAGATGTTAACTAAAGGTGCACGTCATCTGTAGACAGACAATGAGACAGACAGAAGACTTGGACAGTTTGTAAATATAAATGTCAGTTAGTTGTATGTATAGTATATGGAATCCTAAATTTTAATTTTAAATTTTGAGTTCACGATTGTGTTATCTTCTAGATGCACTAAGCGAAATGGTTGTGGCTGTTTTTGTATGAAATTTGAGGACAATAAATATATTTTGTAATATTACAATAAGTCGGAGAACCAAAGTAAGATCTATAGTAATGTAAGTAACACAAATAGTAGCCAACTTTTGTCACAAAGTAGGTATTTATTTATTATTTATTGTTTTAGAACAAGAAAATGGCTTCAAAACGTTATAAAGAAGATTTGATATAGGAAGAAAAATATATTAATTCCCATTATTGAGTTTTCACTCAACACTTTTAAATAAGACATCATTGGCCATTCGTTTGGAAAATAAGAACACAAATGTTAATGTTACAAATAACGATCAAAAATTAAAAAAATATTTGTTATGAATAGATTTACAATAATTAGTCGATAATAGTAAGTGTAGTATTTCTTTTAATAAATAATTTAGCGTAATTACATTGTTTAAATTTATTTACCAGAACGTGAGAGTTGAGAGTGCCGTCGATATTTATATAACCTTTATTATTTATTAGATTTTTAAATTTCCCGCTGCGATATTTGTTTGATATCGATGACAGCGCCACATAGTGGCTCAGATGTTAACTGCGTTAAAGCTGGTCGTTGTTAAGCATTGGCTTCTTATGAGCGTTTCCTATCTTTATCTCCCTTATCTCTGAACTAATCTTTATAAATCATACTATTGACCCAATTTTACTAGGCTATTGATTTATACTATGAAGACTAGTCTTCATAATTTATACATACATCAAAGTCAAACTACTGTCACGCCAATGGTTTATTATTGCATAATTAAAAAGTAAAAATGCTTCTCAATAATGCTCCACGGATTCAGCTTCCTAAAACCGCTACTTACAACAATTTTCTTGGACCTAACACATTTGAGTGTACAGTTGATCCACCAGTTTACCGTAAGTTTTTCCATTTTTTTACCTTACGTTTAAATAGAAATATTACAGAAATAAGAAATATGTAATAAAATATCGTGGATGATTTGTAAAAGACGATATTTCTTCATTTAATAGGCGACACTTTAAAAATATTAGGAATAAGCAGTGTCGGATTGGGAGTCGGTCTACCGGTCAAGCTGTGGGCCCTCGTTCAGGCAGTGGGCCCTTCCTGAGTCAGTGGGTCCTCGTTCAGTTAGTGGGCCCTCGTTTACGCAATGGGTCCTTGAATGCGAAGAAACCCTGTAATACGTGGCAACCTCGCAAAAAGAATTAGTGTGTAAAGAGGACCTTTTTTGCTATTCAATGAATCGGACCATGAAAAAAATATTGGGAGATAGGTCCTTTTTTTTCCTAAACGGGTAGGTTCTGGTCCAAATCCGACACTGGGAATAAGTAACATCTTTATCTTTGTCAGTTATAAGCAGATAGAGTTTGATTTAGCCAAGAACACAGGGGACCTTTTGGTTTATTGTACTCCTCTGCTTTCCTCATATATAGATATGCATAATTAGTCCCATCGGATATATTTTATATTTCCCAGTATATGTTCCAGTTAGATTCATTCTGACCTTAATTTTTATGAATAGGTCAAAGGGTAGCGAGAGGATGTCCGCAGGGTGGTGTGCTGTCTCCACTCCTGTGGAACCTTGTAGTGGACGGGCTGCTTAGGGCTCTCAAAGAGAAGGTACATAGAACCCTGGGATATGCCGATGATCGAGTGATCATGGCACAGGGAAAATACAACACTATAGTAAGAGGTCGAATGCAAGAGGCTCTAAATATAGTAAAAAAATGGACAAAGGCGGAAGGACTAAACATTATCCCAAATAAATCTGACATAATTGCATTCACCCGCAGGAGGAAATTGGAGGGACTAGGGCCTCTAAACCTAAGAGGTGCAAGCATCCAGCTTAACGGGGAGGTAAAATATCCTTGACTCGAAACTAACCTGGAACCAGCATCTAGAGCATCTAGAAAAAACCACAAGGAGAGCGGAAACCTCGTTAATGATGGCAAGGCGATCCTTTGGAAAAAAAATGGAGGTTAAAACCAGACATGGTATATTGGCTTTATAACATGGTGGTGAGACCGATAATAACATATGCAGCTTTGGTGTGGTGGCCAAAGACACAGCAAAGGAAAGCAATAACGAGGCTAAGCAAGGCACAAAGACTTGCTTGTCTCGGAATAACGGGTGCAATGAAAACAACCTCCACTGCTGCAATAGAAGCACTATTAGGACTCCCACCTCTTCACTATGTGATACAAGGGGAGGCAAGATTAGGTACTTATAGATTAGGGAATACACTGGGAAATCTTGACATTGGGCCAGGTCACATGAGTATCTCAAGGTTAGTGACAGGAGACGTGCTAGACATGAGATCAGACCACATGACCAAGAGGTACTCTTTTAACACTCCATTTGAGGTTTTAATACAGGAAAGAGCGGAGATCACCATAAGGGAGCTCAATGCACAACGAGAGGAACAAACCTGGTATACAGACGGGTCTAAGACTGCGGAAGGCACTGGGGCAGGAGTATTCTCCAAAAACCCTGATACTAACCATAGCTATGCTATAGGAATACATTCCTCGGTATTTCAGGCCGAGGTATACGCAATTTTGCAATGTGCAAAAACGAACAATGAAAGAGCTGTCGAAAATCAGCATATTCAAATAATGTCAGACAGCCAAGCGGCACTTAAGGCCATATCGAGTCAGAAAGTTAGGTCGAGGCTAGTATGGGAATGCATCGAAGAACTCTAAGAACACAGGCAGACTGAAATAAAATAAAACTATTTTGAGTGAGAGGTCACCAAGGGATCGAAGACAACGAAAAGGCTGACGAACTTGCAAAAAGAGGGTCAGAAGGAACACCGGAACCAGACACAAACCCAGGAGTACCAAAAAGTACAGTACGGGGTTTCATAAACGACTGGATTCGGAAACAACATATCAACTATTGAGGAAGCACCCCAAAACAGGCACATGGAAAAGCCTTCATAGGCAGACCATGTCCCAAAAGAACTGGAGAACTACTCTTAATGAATAGGAACCAGTTGAAAATTGGCATGTACAATGGGGAACTCATGTGCCGACTATGTCACAAGAAACCAGAAACGGCCAAACACATACTGTGCGAATGGAAGCTCTGGATCGCAAAAGACAGGCACATTTAGGACAACCCCAGGTTGATCCAACAACGTATAGAACCCACTCACCCAAGGATCTGTACAAACTTGTACAAGGTACAAAAGTGACAGAGTGGGTGCTATGAACTAACATGGGGTAAAACACAATAAGCCAATAGGCTTCAGTGTTATTCGGAGACACATAGTCAGACGAGCCCAGGAGGAAAAAAAAGGGTAAGAGGTTTGGAATTATTTTAATAGGCTGTTGGTGTACTTCTCCGTCTTTGTTGGAATTAGCATGCTCCTCTTGATTCCTGGTTGATGGAATAACTATGTATAACAACAACATCTTAATAATTTAATTTTTTTTTAGCCCATAAAGTACCTTTTTTGACATCAACGTCTGCTGAACCCGTATATTTCAACCCAAATTATTGTGAAAGTCTCATCTATGGAGTTAAAGATGACATGAAAGATAGGAGAGTAAGTAGAAATTGTAAAAGCATTTTTAGGAATAATAAAATTAGTATTCAAATAATACCTATTAATTAGAGACTGTTACAGAAAATCACCCTATTATTAGTTAGAAATTTTGTCATATTTAATTGAGAATAAAAAAGATAGTCATTAAGGTATAAAGTCTATTTTTTTCTCTATAATCTAAAATATCTAAAACAGTTTTTGGTCCTTCGAGCCGGATTGCATTACTTTGAGCTGTGTGAGACTGACATCAGAGGTCTTAAAACATTTGGAATTAAACAATACATCTACGTACTATTGGTAGATAACTGTAATACACTGGCTTAATACAAATAATAAGTTACAGACGTTTGTTGCAGCCAAAGTGAGTGAAATCTTAGAATGTTCTGATGTCAAACAGTGGAACTGGATATCAACCATAGACAATATTGCTGATAAATGTACATGAAGTACATCCAAATATCCTCTTAATTCAAATCATTGCTGGTTTACAGGTCCCAAGTTTTTATATGCATAGTAAGAGTGACCTTGGATTGGATTTGGGAAAGTTCCGACACAGGTGCCTTTCTAGAAAGGCTCGCAGCTGCACCACTGCTTACACAAATGATTTATATTTCATTTATTGTTTGCTATGATTTTAATTGATTTTGGTAATCTGAAAAAAAAAATACCTACATGAAGTAAACAGGCGAAGTTTTTGACATAAAAACTAACAATATAATTTTGTCAAAAATATTTGTAAAAAATTATCGATTCATCTAAATTTCAATTCACACATTATACAAAAATTATATCTGTATACCGGTGGCTAAGAGGACAAATATTGTATTTCCAAAATTGCTATTTTGCGTAAAACTGGTACCAATGACGAGCTGTATAGTTTGTATTTATATTAGTACTACTATAATAAATGGTAAACTGTTTCAAGTTGAGGTACGGTAAGTATATGGGAACTATAAAGATTTTACCTCAAATTTCCCCATTTCGACAAAAATGGACATATAATATTTGTCACAATGTTCACATTGTTTATCAACGATAATAAAGTAAAATTGAATTTAAATATAAATGAAAAAATCGTTAGAATAAATCAAAGATAAACACTGATTAAAAATATTACAAGAGCCTAACATCCGGTCGTATAAGAGGCTAAAAAAGTATTTATATCCCGGATGGGCAAGTTGAATACAAATATCATTAACATCACTTTTATATTACAGATGGGCACTTCGCCCAGCAATAAAGCTCCTAGGGTATTACACGACATTTCTCCAGGTGCTCCAGTGACCAAGTACACAGCGAAAGAACCATCATGTCCAGGAGCATTTGATAACAAAGGTAAAAGAGGGATGCATTTGATAATTTAGATCTATCCCAACAAACATTTTGTGTAGGGAATAAATAAAAGGCCCAATAAGTGTTACCCTTCAATTGTAATGGTGGCCATTTAAATTTTATAAATAAAAGGCCGGCATATATAGGTCACTACGGCCGACAGTTGGGCCGAAGTCACTTAGCAATCAAATCCAGTTAATAGGCCTCCATTTTCCCTTTAATGTCTAGAAATAGATATATTTGCAATTAATGGCCCATCGATGGGAAGTTAATGGGTAGTTGCAATTACCAGCAATCCGAGACTGGCCGCATAGTAAGTACATATCAACTGTATGAACGTGGGACGCGGAGCCCTCCTGGACTGTTGAGGTTGGGTCTGCGAAAGTTAAAAGCCTTTTGACTTATACTATGCTTTTACCCAATACAGTTACTTGCCCTCCATAAAGCCATCAAAGTAACATAATGCTGGGCCACTATATCGAAAGGCCAAAAGAAGGATTTTAGCTTTTAATCCTCGCATTAATTTTTCTTCCAGTTATAGCAAAAGGCCAGCAATATCCCAGAAATTCATTGTTTGTTGGGTTGATTTATACATTCCGTGTTTCAAGTATTTTTTCGTTGCCTATGTTTGAATATAAATTATAAACTTTTTAGATGAAAAGAAACTTAGAAAATTCTATGTATGTAGAACCCCTTACAGCACCTTAGGGCAAGGACCATCTGTACCATCAGAACGTCACAAACTTGGGTACTACATTAATGAATTTGGCAGAATTATACAAGTGCCATCTGAATGTAAGGATAGAACAGGAGGACCTGCCAAATATGGATCTAACATGAAAGTAATTTAATAATCTACTTGATCCTTGAAATTTCCGATAACAACAATCATCATTCTTAAAATAAATATCTACATAGCTTTTTAAAAAGTTCAGGTATCGTCATTGTATTATCAAATTTTTATTTTAAATAATGATTTATACCTACCTTTATTATATTTGTACCTATTAGCTTATCAAAAATAGTGAAGTGTCTAATCTAATCAGATAGTAATTTTATTCCTATGAATATCAAAATCCCATTAATTCAGAACATATAATTATAATTTGGAACAAGAAACATGTTGCTGAATGCTTAGAATTGTAATATTTTAAATGCGATTTTTGTATAAAACTTAAATCAGTATACGTTGCGACATCTACTAAGCAATAGCCAAACAAATGTTTCATTTTAAATAAAAATCTGTACATTGTTTTTTATTAAATAACTGCAATTAAATTAGTAGTTAGTAATTAATACTGCAAATTATATCTGGCACTGTTTCACGTATTATATAATATAAAAAATATTTTAAAACACTTTATCATAGAACATCTCCATAAAGCCTACGAATTTTAAAAAATAGAAGGTAGCCATTTTTAATCCAGTATAATTTAAACATGTGAAACAATGATCAAACAATTTAATAATCTATAAACCACAATTTCATTTAAAATTAAAAGTATTTTAAAATAACTAAAAAAACTTATTCCTATTCTTTACCACAATAGACGAATTGTTAATTTTACCTTTAGCGACATCTGCCTGTCTATTTTTAAAACATTCGTGAGCCTAACGTCCATCTTTAGTCCAACACAGTTTCGAATTGTTATTTTTTTATAATATTTTTTTTTAGAAAACTGCGTACGATCAAAAGTACAAAGGCATTCAATTTAAAACATCGCCAAGAGAACCACGCGTCAATCTTCTTCCAGGACCTGCCGATTATAACAGGGGCGACTTGGACTTTCATAGAGATCCTAGGGGCGATGAAATTAGGGAAACGGCAAGATTTATGACATTTCTACCGAGATACATTGATAAATTACAGATAGATCTAATAAGAGATGTAAGTTTTTTAAAAATATATTACACATCAAATTTAATATAAACCAAACCCGCAATTAAAATTCAATTGTAAAGTGGTTTTGGGACAAGGCATATTATTAGATAACAATTGTACTGTTATTGAATGAATCAAACATAAACTAAGACTGGAACTGGTCGTTTATTTAACACAAAATACATGATCCTCTATCCTCTGACATGCTTTTTCATCTCCCCTATAAACTCACATAGCATACCCTTCTCCGCCTAGTGTATTACTGGTTGCATACAACGCAGTGTATTAATGGTTGCTTATCAGTAGGGGAGATAATAGATAACACATCTCTTTTTTCTTTAATTTGGTGTCATCGGCATCGATTGCTAAGGTGATTAGCCTCGTGTTCTGTATAGGCTTTGTTACTGTTTCCCAGCGCCACTTTAGGAACAGCACTGTTAATTAGAACCCAACAGTGAATGGTCGAGTGGGGAATCCTACCAAGGCATCAGTTTAGGTTGTATAAATGATTACTGTTTTTTTGCAAAACCCATTGATATTGTAACGTTTATTTCTTTTAAATAGTTTATTTAATAGAGAAATATTGCAAGTTTACTTAGGGTCAGTCACTATTAGCGCCGCTCTTATTTTGCCTGTTCTTAATTGTGGATGTTTAAAGGGTAGTAGTATGGAATTTGTAGCTTTAGGGTTCGCTCGCCGACATTCGTATCAGTTCGAAGTTTTTTTAACATTAAATAGTTAATATCATCGTCATCTAAACCAAACCTTTTCAAATGGTAACAAAAAAGATGAACTGTAATTAAAAATTTTTAAAACGAGGTTAGAAATGGGTATGTATAAAGACAAGGACTCTAATATAAAAACTTCAGATTTGCAATATGTCTTATTTTCGCATGGAATTTATTTGCCTTTAATGACGTTGTCACTATTTTTGTAACTAACGTTACTATTTATACCTCAAACTAGGGATGCGCGATACACTTAAAAGTATCGATATCAGGTATCGATACGGATCGGAACATAAAGTATCGATACAGTAAAATATCGAACGTTGATGTATCGATACTCGAAATATCGATACTTTAACGATCCGAGATTTTTAGTAGTTATTTCAGTTATTCCCACTTTATTTTGACAGTTTGACAGGTAGTGATGGTTGATCCCGATTTTTTCACGGATCAGTTCGGAGTTGATCCCATATATGCAAATACTTGATCCCAGGATCAGTTCCTGATACCAATCCTAATGCAATCAGTGAAGTCTGCAAACGCTACACAGCGTTACTGGACTCTCTAAATAAAACAAATGGGAAGTTATTTTCATGAATGTGTTTGGTGTATGGTTGTATGCAAAGTGCCGCACGGTCGGCTAAATATGTTTATAAAAATAACAAAATATGTAAACGTACCTAATATTTCTTAACACGCCTAATTAAATTAATTATTATAATCCTACAGTATGAACATTTAAAATTAATAATTTAACACTAAATTGGAACCTCAACTCAAAGTTTAATATTTAATTTAAAAGTAATCTTAACAGAAACAGAAAACATGCTTTTATCCAACCGATCCTAGCCTAGTTAGTACACCATGCACCTACGGTCGGATCACTTAAGTTTTGGTATATTTTAATATTTCTGATAACACAAATGCATGCCACAGTGCAGTGTGACCGCGGTCGTCGCGAAAGCGAAGCGATGAAGAATCAATCAAGTATTAGTTCTGATATTTTCTAGTATCGAGTCCAACAGTCGTGCGACTCGCAGGTATCGGTAACTGGTATAGCCCGAGCTGAAACTATATTTTTGTTTCAAGGAACAGATTCTAGATGGCGCTGTACACAACAATTTACAGAAATCTACAATTGATGGTGGAAAGAGTGGGAGTGTCATTTGTCAATTGTCAGGCATCCATTATCGATTACCTTGCGGTGAATGACATTTGCCATTTTACCTGTATTTTTGTGTTTATCAATATCATATTGTCAATAATTATTATTTGTTTGTATTTGGGTGTGCTCTGGATCCTGGATGAATAAATAGTAAGTATTTTGTAAATAATTGTTTATTGTATTGTCAACTTGGTCTTGTTCAATTGTGTTTTAAATGTTCAATTTGTTTACTTGATCTTGCTGACGATTGAGCTTATTTTAAATTTTTGTGGTCATTTTTAGTTACAAAAGCTGTAATATATCATATTGTTGAATGCCAAATTGTTTTGTAAACACTCTGAAATCCTAATAACGATTTATTTCAAATTTGAGTATTGAGTGTTCCCAGTCCATTTTTCAAGAATAAAACAACAAATTTGTAAAAACTATTTAGTATGTGATAAACATTTTGAAGATATGTTTAAAGTTCTTGGTGCACGCAGCGATCTAACTGTATTTTTATTTGTTCTAGTACAAACTTTTTCAAGCCGTTTGGAGTGGCAGTAGTATTGCATCGTTGAAGACAAAAACAGCCTAGTCAGGGAAGTAATAGTCACTGTACTTTTTGTATTCATGCCTCACATCTGATTTTTATATTGATTTAGTTCAGATTGTTACTTTTACTGTTTTTTTATTTGTTCTAGTACAAACTTTCTTCAAGCCGTTTGGAATGGCAATATTGGATTGTGGAAGACAAAATAGCATAGTCTGGGAAGTAATGGTCAGTATACCTTTTTTTATTTATGCCTCACTTTCTGTGCTCCCCAATAGATTTGAAGGGTTCAGGAAAAAAAGGGGCCTAGTCACAATTAATTACCAAAATGTTCAGAAAACCAAATTTAATTTACACTGACTAAATACAAACTTTTGATACTTTAAGGTAATTGATTACAAAAAGATGTTACTTTGTTTAAATGTTGCCTGATTATATTGTACTTTACCACTTAATTTACCAGACAGTTGTAATTTTTTATTCTAAATACTAAAAATGACAAACAAACAGTAGGAAAGTCCTTGGACATAATTTTAAATGCACTGTTTTGCATTTGCTAATACTGGTAATTTACAAAATAGGGCGGACCAGTTCAATTTTGATAAAAATGTGGCTTAGCTGCTTTTTTGTTCCTGTACCCTTCTTGATTTATAAGTTGATTAATATTTATTTTTTGTTTTAGATAAAACTCTTCAACCTCTGTAGACAATGACTTAACTTTCCAGCTAATTAACACGCTACATTTAATTATTCTATTTTGTATGTTTTTTTTGTTTTAATAAATTAATTTTGTTGATCATGCTTTTTAATTTTTTGTAAAAATATTTCAGCTTGTAGTCAAGTTAATATTGGTTCATACTACTCATTTTTTGCTTTATTGTAACAAATATAATTTTATTGCTACAATAAACGTAAAAAAGGAGTTGGTATGAACAAATCTTAATTTGACTACCACTTTTAAACTAAATATTGTAGGACCATTTTGAATGTTCCCGCGTTTTGTATTAACTAAAGTGACCGCGAGATGGCGCCACTTCCGCCAAATAGTTCAAAGAACGCCCACCGGGTGTTACAAAACTGTCGCAAATTTTAACATTGCAGTTTCCATTCTAAAAGTAATTGTTCTGTGGCGACTCGTGCATCCGCATGTTTCCGCGCATTATCCTCCTGTATCAGGTATCAATAAGTAGTGCCGCAACCGAATAACAAATACGTCGGTGGTTGCGTTAATGCGTACTAGTTTGTGAACTATTCGTTTTTCATGTTGGGATCAGGTACGTGATCCGAGTATCAGGGATCAGATCCTTGGATCAGTTCTAGTATTCGTTCGTCATCACTATTGACAGGTAGTAATAAATTGAAGAGAGACAGATCATATTATTTTTTTTTTATTTAAAACATTTATTCACCATTTTAAAAATAATTATGTACTAGATCAATATAAAATAACGCACAAAGTACACAGCACAATTGTGCGGCTTACATCATAATCAAAAGATAAAACAAACCAATTATTTTAGATACTCCTAACTACATAAAAAAAATAGTAGCTACTTATAACACGAAAATATTTCAGGGATTCACTCAGCCCAGTTGACAGCTGACTGACAGAGGACAGACAGAGGATAGAACAATACTGTGCTCATAAGAAATTAGAATACGATCGTTGTTGATATCTTCATACAACGATACGATTTTATCAAGTATATATGCATTTTTACAGAAACTGCAAACGATGAATAACGGTTGCGTAAATGTATTTAATTTTTCGTTTTGCTAGTAGATGACGCCACCCCGATCCGCCACCAACCAAAATCCCGGATCGTAAAGGTATCGATACAGTAGAAATGTATCGATACTTGCAACGTATCGTAAAGCAAAGTATCGATCCAAAATATCGAGTATCGGACGTAAAAGTATCGATACTCTGAAATATCGGATCGTATCGCGCATCCCTACCTCAAACACTATACTAATTTGGCATCGCCATCAAATAGCGCAGGATGAAAACGCGTAGGACTAACCCAGATAGCACAGGACGTCCCATGAACGTCCTGATTTGGTCCCTTATTGGTCCGGTTGGTCCCGGACCTAAATAAGACGTCCACTGGACTTCCGATTATCGTGAACACTAGGACGTCCTCTAGACGTCCTATTTGGGTCCCGTTTTGACAAAGCGTTTAGTTTTCGGTCCGAGTCCAGGACGTTAATGGGACGTCTATGGGACTTTCCATGTACTAGTATCGTTGGTCTTTCAATCGATAACTTAAAATTCAACGTTTTGTTTTTGCAAGAGTATGAAGACAGAAAACCTAACTTATCATTTATTTTCAAATGAACAATAACAGCAACAATATAAGTGAGTTAGATTAATGAAGAAAAAAGAAGGTTTTATAGTGTTAAGTATTTGTAATATTTTTGATGTTGGTGGTAAAATGGTTATAAAGTGAAATGAGTGTTTTGTGTTGAGGTGAGAGTAAGTAGCTAGTTTTTTCAGGATAAAAGTTGTTAAATAAAGCCCTTTAACGTTTTTGTTATTATTACCATTTTTGGATTATGGTCAAATATGATCCCTAAGATGGACGTCCCTGGGACATCCGAAAAGGACGTCATAGGGACCTTTGTGGGACGTCCCAGGTACGTAAATCAGACGTCCGAAGGACCATATTTGACCACAATCCATAAATGGTAATAATAACAAAAATGTTAACAATGAAAGGGCGTTATTTAACAACTTTTATGAACGACGTCTTTCAGACGTCCATGAGACGTCCGTGTGCTATGTGGGAAATACCGCTAAGTCAAAGTAGCGTAAAAAAATACGGCTGGTACAAAATAGCGCAGAACAAATTACCTTAATGACAAATGAGCAGAAGAGGAAACAGCGCGCTGACAAAAACGCGTAAAAGAAATAGCAATTGAAAAAAATAGCATTGGGCGCATTAGCACTAAATAGCAACAAACAGTGGTTTGTTTGTTCTTTATTAATATTATTAAATAAAAAAATAACTAATTTACCTAATCTGTGCCATCGCAGGCTGCACAGGTTAGGTATATTAGTTAGGTTTTTTTTAGTTTTTATATTTTATGTGTTTTTTTGCGAAAGAACCCGCGATGCCCCAGGTTAATCATAAAATAATCAAAATTTTTTTCGGCACTATTTGATCTGGCGCTTTTTGTGAATGCCCTGTTTATTCCTGAGTTCTTTTATCGTAGTGGTGTTTCTTTTGCGTTATTCTGACCTGTGCCGCGGCGGTTTCTACTAATTTATAGACCATTTATCTTTATAAAACAATATTCAGACTTCAACTGACTCACTGCAACAACAAAACAGCTTATTTACATAAAAATTTGGCGAACCCAAGTGTTCTCACATTCACTAGTACTTTCTACGAAAACTGTCCACGTCCTTTCACCATAACATATACGTCGGCGGTCCCATCATTTTATTGACTGTGGTAAATTCTTGAATTTTACTAGTAGACTGCGATTTCTTCAACTAATGGGATTTACCATGGGCCTTCGGAGTGTGAATAATCTGTTTGGATATTCTTGGTAATCGGATAAGTGGGTTCGAAAGAGGCCCAAATTAGGCAAAGGGGGACTTTAGGTATTTTTATTTATTAATTAATGAATTAATAAATCTAATTAAAATATATTACATATTGTATATAAATATTATACAAGTCTCTCGTGGCCCTGTTTTTACTAGTGATGGGCAATTCGAATGCAAAATCATTCGAATATTCGAATTATTACTATCATTCGAAATGTCTCGAATTACCTAGAAATGATTTGAAACATTTTAGACTTTTCAGGCTATAGGCGAAAAAAGCTTAGACTCCAGCGCCTCTACCGGTCACTTTTTCGTCCTCCGCTGGGCCATTTATAGTTTGTTTACATTTGTTTTCATATGACATGCCATAGGTTTTTCGTAAGATTAGGTGTTGAATTTTTCGTTTTTAAAGTGTGTAAAGGATTTTGTTAGTTTTAGTGTTGGTTATATATGTATTAATTAAACATTTTTATAGATAGTGGCAGTGTATTTATTTAGCAAAAGTATGTTTACCTTATATTACATTAACCCATAACCTAAATACATAATACTATTTTATCTTCCAAAGGTAACTTCCTAGACGATACTGCATTAAATTTTAATCTATGTAATTTAGAGCTGTCCCCTACAAACAAAAACTATTAATACGGAAACACAAAAAACGACTAAATACTAACCTCTATAAAAATAATCGTTTTCAGAGAAATGCAATGAACATACTCTCATGTACGGACTCACAGGCTTTCCAATTTTTAATTTTCTTATCCATTCCTCCCTCCGATCAACAGCTTCTCGTTTCCCTAGTTTTGTTTCTACCAAAACACGTTGTCCTTTTTTAGGAAATGTATGAAAACTAAGTTCTTTATTTAGTTTTACCCAAGAGGAACACATGGGAACACAACAGTGATGGTTCATTTTGATAAAATAAACAATAATTTTATCAATTAAACGTCTTTAAAACACCATATACAAACAGAAACCGTAAGATTAACCTATATTATGCTTGAATCACATGAGTAAACAAAACATTAATGGCCCACTGGAAGGTTTCAAATTAAAACTGTAGGTGGCGTATCGCTTATTTTGTCATGCCTATTCAACAACTAGTGTAAATCGGCGATTCAACATTAATATTTTTTTAATTTAAAGGCCTCAACTGTCGAAGTCATTCGGCATAATTCAAATCATTTTGTAGAATTTATAAAATAAATATAGAAATAAAAATATTTTACTTTTCCAAACTGTAATTAGCTTTTTTAAAACATCCTATTAGCGTTTTTTTTAATAGTACCGCTTTTTACATCCGATTCAAATACTGAAGCAAATTTGTAGTATTGCCAAAATATTTAAAAGTTTTCTTACAAATATTACATTGTAGCTTGTTTTTCTTCAGTTTTTGAAAATATTCCCAAACTTCGGACTTAACGGAGGAACCATCTTTTCTAATGAAATATTATCGTTATCTAAATTGTCAATATAAAACATAGAACCAAAATCAAACATAAATAACCAAATTTTTTTCTTTTTTTTTACCTCTAAATACAAATGTAAATAAGAAGAAGAGAATTCGAATGATCATTCGATTATTTATATTTTTATCATTCGAATATTCGAATACGAAATTCATTCGATTATGCCCATCACTAGTTTTTAACTCATGTAACAACCTACAATTTTGGCGTCATTTATAAACTTACTTAAAGGATATACGTGATGTCGGAAAACCAATAAAAATCAAGAAAATTATACCTTACAATCAATTTTGTTATTTGGCCTGAACACTTAACGAAATGCAATTTTTTTTTTATATATTTCGTGTTAATTTGTACTTGCAAGCATTTAGAACGTTCTCAGAATATGAGGTACATGCTGGGTATATGATTTTTAGTATCTAAATTTCCTATTAAAGCAAGTGCTCAGTCCTTATTTTTTAACTTGGTATATACAGGGTGTAACTAAATAAGTATAAAACATTTAAGGGGGTGATTCCTCATCGAAAAAAAGATAGGATCTTTAATATAAAGAAACTTTATTGGAGCATCCCTTGTTAAGATACAGCCCCTTAAAGGGGGTACATAAAATTTGTATAACAATTTTTTTCACAAGCACTAAACAAGTTACAATATTGAAATTAACCTGTCATTTTCTACTACCAAAAAGACACTTAGCCAGTAATTTATTTGGTTTACCCCATGGTTGTAAAGGGTGGAAAACGAAACCCCTAAAATTTCGTTCGAACGTAACTTTTTGTCTTATTATTTTTTGACCATTTAAAATTTTATTTCCGATAGCCTGTTTCATTCTGAACAAAAAATGTCTCTAGAATTTTTTGCCCAAAATAAACCAGTTCGCAGCAAAAAATTATTTTACGAACAACTACAGAGATACAACGAAATTTTAGGGGTTGCGTTTTCCACCCCTTACAACCATGGGATAAACCAAATAAATTACTGGCTAAGTGTCTTTTTGGTAGTAGAAAATGTCAGGTTAATTTCAATATTGTAATTTGTTTAGTGCTTGTGAAAAAAATTGTCAAACAAATGTTATGTACCCCCTTTAAGGGGCTGTATCTTAACAAGGGATGCTCCAATGAAGTTTCTTTATATGAAAGATCCTATCTTTTTTTCGATGAGGAATCATCCCCTTGAATGTTTTACACTTATTTAGTTACACCCTGTAGATTTTAGAATATACTTTCAAAGTTTAATCTACGCATGTTTTAAGAATATTCTAAAGAGGACGGTAAGGAATATAAACAGAACGTTCTTAGTATATTCATAGAATATTGATGTTATTTGAGATCCTGTAGATATGTCAATTTGCAAATTTGTTAGAAACCCATATACCTTGCTAAAAATATTTAAATATTATACATATATAGCCCTAAATTAAAGAATGCTGAATTTGCTAAACTAATCTTTTGTCTACTAAATCATATAATTAGATTTATCAATCTAATACATTTTTAGGGACCACCCGGTCCAGCTGATTTTGAAACCAGCAAACCTCTTTGCAAACGCAGTCCCGCTATGGTCGAGCTACCATTTGTAACAGGCGTCGATAGGTTTCCAGTGCCCTATGATAGACCAGGTCCGACTGATTACACTATCGTAGAACAATCGTATCCCATCAGCAAACTGAATGTTCCCTTTTCCAATTTGGCCGAAAGATTTCCTCCGAAAAAACCTGTTGGTCTTAGCGGTGAGCGATATTTAAACAAACGTTTCTTAAAATTCAACATTTTTTATTAATATTTTAGGTCCTTCGGATTATCAAATTCCTAGTCCCATAAACGAGAAAGTGATAAAGGCACTCCAAGAAGCTCACAATCATCCGCCTTTTGGCCAATCGGCGAAAAGGATCCTAACGAAAGGGTTAATGAACCCGGGACCCGCCGATTATAACGCGTATTCCAAAGATAAGACCAAGAAGAAGCAGACCTGGGTTTTTCGTTCCAAAACGCAAAGGTGGCCTTATCAAGGTGGTAAGGTGAGTATGTTCTTTAAACCTCGTTTGCTGTCTCTAGTTTATAGGCTAAATAATCATCAGACAATAGGCAGTTAAAATGTACTTTAAACTACCAAACTCGTTGCATAATCATCGGTTAATGTTAAACTTAGTTTCAATAATGACATTTTTTTGAATATAACTAGTTAAAAATTAAACTCCTGTTAGCTAGGAGTTTAATTTTTAACTGGTTTTGTACAACCCGCCCTAATAAACTTTGGCAGAGATTCAGAATTGTCAAAATTTGTCAGGTTCGTAAATTTTAATAAACGTTTCTGCAACCGTACGTTCATTTTATCGACTTTTAATCCGGCGACGGTGTGGTAGGGTATCACATACCCCATACAGTTTAAATAGCGCGCCATTCAGCGAATCCATACACTGTTGCCGCGTGGCCTTCAGTACCTTCCTAGTAGTTGCAGTTTCAGCAGAGACAACTACGAGACGTGTAACTTCATATAAAAATCGGTTCTGTGGATCGCTCATGCAGTGTATATCGTTTTCTCCCTTTCTCTTAATATTTGTGGATATGACTATCTCTTTTACAAATCACTCAAGGCAATGGTGAGATGTCGCCACCATAGCCCCCTTCTCTTTATGTTCTGTCATGTATATATCTTGTCATAAAAGTCGTTATTTCTAGCCTAGCTTTTCGTTAGAGGTTATGTTTTGGAAAAAATTTTTGTTTATTTTATATTATGGCTTTTTATATTGTAGTGTGTGTAGTGTTTGTAACGTATTTTGTTTGCATTTTCAAGAGCTTATTATATTACTAAAGCTAAAATAGTTTAGACTTTTTTTGATTAAATAGCATTTTGTTTAATTTGTGGATGCAGTGAAGATGAGGTGTCTAAAATGCATTACTTTCCACGTAATTCTACAAAGTAAGTACAATCTATCATTTAATTCAAATAAAACTGGTTTACTCGGCTTATGTTATGACAATATTGGAATATGAGTTGAGTTGCCAGTTAGGTCTCCTTTTTATGATGTACGTGTTAGGTCATTAGAATCTGTTCAAGACAAATTTCTTAGATTAGGTTTAGTAATGGCAACTCTGATTATAATGTTTTATTAAACTCTATGCATCTTAAATGCCTAAAAATTTTCGAAGGGGTACACTCAATTTATTATTTTTGCATAAAGTAAAGGAGTTATTCATTGTTTTGAACTTTTAGAATCCATGCAATTTAGAGAACCAGTAAGATTCGTGAAAATTATTTATTCATTCCATTTCACAGAACTAATTATTATGACCTAAGTACCTATTTAGTTCTCTTAACAAAAATGCAAATTCATTAAATTTGGATATTAGGGGTACATCTTTCATTAATTCCTAATGAGTATTATTGTTGGTTTATATAAAAAAAGTACCTACTCAATACTTCCCACTTGATTGACTTAAGTGTTGGTGTGTTTGTTTTTAAAATAACATTTGCAAAGTATTGTATTCTTTCCAATTATATTTTTTATTGTTACGGGGATTTCGAGTAGGTATATCCTTCAATAATAAAAATTTAAAATTTTAAAATCTTGGTATTTATTTGTAGAATCTAATATAAAATATTATTTTTTAGATGCAAATTATGGTTTGATGCCCTGGGTATTCCATATTTCGAACAGAAATGCGAAATTTCAGAATCTGCAGTAAACACTTTGCTAGAACAGATTATATTGGAAACTGGAAATTAAAACCGGATGTATTACCAATGAAATTTATGGACTGCCAGACAACTGGAAATGTTACAGATTTGTTGAGCAAAGATATAAGTAAGTTGATTATTAAATTATTTCAGCAATTTTATTGAATCTGCGAAATTTCAGAATCTGCAGTAAACACTTTGCTAGAACAGATTATATTGGAAACTGGAAATTAAAATCTGTTGTATTACCAATGAAATTTATGGACTGCCAGATAACTGTAAACGTTACCAAGAAAGACTCATTTACCCTGCAGAACAACCAGTATTTTAGGTTGGAACAGCTATAAGCTTATTGGAAGATTTTCTTGAGTCTCCTACTTAACATTTTAAATTTAACTAAGGAAATAGAAAAGCTATTTGAAGAAAAAATAGATTTTGAATGGGTAACATGTACCACTCATAAACATTTTCTTATGAAATCTTTTTTTAAAGCAGTGTGGAAAATAGGCATTCCTTGGTGGTGTAAAAGAAAAATGAGGGAAATTAGGTCACAAAAAAATTACACAATCAAAAAAAATTAAAAAAATTTTACATATATAATTTATAATATAGCTTTCGGCCCATGATAGAACAGCCTTCTTCAGTGGGTTTTATTTTTCGATTCGTTTATTTCATTATTTTATTTTTTAATTAATATTTATTATTATTAAGTTATTACTTTTCTTTTTTTAAATTCATATATCTATGGTATTTTATGGTTGTTTAAATTAATCCCATGTTTCATGTTTGCCAATTATTGTCTTTTTTTATGTATTTATGTCATTGCAATTTAAGGTTGGTTTTTGTTTGTTTAGTTCTGTTGTTTATAATATAGGTATTTAATATCGATATTTTTAATTATTATCATGAATAAAAATATAAAAACGATGGTATACTACAATTTTATTTATTAAACATTTTCCTTAATGACATAAAAAGAAAAAAACACTACATAAATTTATGGTTAGCGTTTTGTTGCTTATAAACTTAAAAAAAAAATAATAATTATAAAAGAATTAAACTTCGAAAAAATAATACATATTTACAGTGTCTACTTAAGTTGGCAGCATATGGAAAATTATTTTATTAGTGTTAGGAAAAAAAGTAAATATTAATTTGTTGTAATGTAAAATTCCCTCAGGCTTAAGAAAAATTCATAATTTCTGACAAGCCCTATAATTTTTTTCCTAAAACTAATAATAAATTTTCCATAATATGCTGTCAACTTAAGTAGAAACATTGTTTTCATTTAAAATTCCCGCTTATCCATGACCTATCCCAATGTTTATCAGATTAATATGGTTACTAACGCAAGAAGAGACCATTTAAAAAGAAGAAGTACAATTAAAAAGAAGATCTAAGCGATCTGAATTTCCGGTTCTGTGAGCGCCGTGCACAGCGCCCTCGGTTGGTGCCTTTTATAGAATCGCCCAGTCAAATTTTGCCGAACCAATTATTTACATTGAGTTGCCCGTCTCTAGTTGTCTCTGGTTTCAGTCAGCGGTGAGCCACCGGTGCATCTACACCGGAGGCTATTAGCGCTGGAACACGCTTGGGGCATCACATACTCCACCACACAGGTAAGTGAATATTTTTTCATAGATGAACAGAACCTTTTTTTGTAGTTTTTTGCACATGAAGGCACAATATTTTAATTTTTTTGAGTATTTTGAACTAATATTTTTGCCTATTTTGATTTTAAAATGAAACATGACCTTTTTACATAAAATTTAATTTTTTTTTTTGTTCTTTGATATGGATACACTAAAAAACTTTACTCTTGATTGAAAAACTTATAATTTTTTGGATAGAAATTTAGAAATAATTTATTTCTACGTATGTACAATATTCAAGAAGAAGAAGTTGTTATTGGCACAGAGAGTGACGAAGAATCCCATGAAGAGCTCAGCAATCACAGTTCTGAAAGCGAAGAAGAAGCAGATGATCGCCAGATTGGTACTGAAAATGAAGACGTACAAAATGAACAAAAATCAGAAGAAGAAGATATCCAAATAGTCAATCAGAATGCACAAAATGAAGAAAATGAAGCAAGCTCAAGATTGTATCTAGGAAAGGATGGTACCAGATGGTCTGCAAATCATTTCCTTAAAAATGTAAGGACCTGCTCTGAAAATATTATCACACATTTTCCCGGAGTAAAAAGAATGGCTATAGACTCTAAAACTTCAGTTGAGTGCTTCGATTTACTTATTACTCCAGATATGATAAATGATATCGTCATATGGACAAATGTAAAAATAAGAAGGAAATCTGCCTCTTATAATGAAAATCATCAATATATTGTCATGGAAACAGATGCGTGTGAGATAAGAGCATTGTTTAACTTACTTTATTTGTCAGGAGTATTCAAATCTGCTAGACTTAATCTTGAAGATCTATGGTCAATAGATGGAACGGGGATAAGTTTGTTTAGAGAAACAATGTTTCTAAAAAGGTTTATCTTTCTGCAGGCCTGTTTACGTTTCGACTGCTTTTAGACAGTACATGCCAAATAAGCCGGCTCGCTATGGGTTGAAAGTATTCGCTCTAGTAGATGCAAAGTCCTACTACGTCCTTAATTTAGAATTATACGTTGGTTTACAATCAGAAGGACCATTTCAGTTGAGCTCCAAACCTATTGATGTCGTCCTTAGACTAATAGCTCTTCTTTCCTGTACAAAACGGAATGTAACATTAGACAACTGGTTCACTAGTTACGAGCTTATGCTGCGGCTTTTTCAAGAACATCAACTAACGTCAGTTGGAACTAATAGAAAAAATAAAAATCAGATACCTGCGAGATTTCTTATGTCTAAAGATAGACCGGAATATTCTTCGAAATTCGGATTCCAGAAAGACGTAACCTTAGTATCGCATATTCCCAAAAAAGGAGAGGTGGTTCTTCTCATGTCCACTTCGCATCATACTCCAGAAATTGATGAAGAAACTAGTGAAAAGAGAAAACCAGAAATTATCACCTTTTACAATGCGACCAAGGGTGGCGTTGATATCGTCGACGAGCTATCAGCCGCATACGACGTGTCACGTAACAGTAAAAGATGGCCACTGACTCTTTTCTACGCTATTCTCAACTGCGCAGGAATAAACGCTAGAATTATTTTTAATTTAAACAATGGCAATAATGCTATGAAAAGAAGAAAATTTTTGAAAACCTTAGCAATTCAGTTATTGACTCAGCACAAGGAACGCAGATCAACCAATAAACGGCTTCCGCATGAATTACAAATAAAAAGGCCTCTACCAGAAAATGAAGAACAACCTGGAAAAAGGCGTAGAGTG